AAAATTATTAAAATAAATTAATATGCACAGAAGTTTCACCAACTTATATTCTCATAAGCAATATCTTAATCAACTTATATTCTCATAAGCAATAGTTTGTGTTCCCATACCGTATCCCATAAGATCAACAAAGTGTTTGATTTGTGTCATTGATATCTTACTCTGGATTACTTTTGAATTTATTGCTTAATATAATTATATTTCCTTTTAAGGTGAACTATTATCTTTTCCTTTAGATTGATGGGATTTTCTTCTTATAGGAACCACTCATATACTAAAAAAATTGGCACTTTTCCTATTTTTATAGTTACATGTCATTACCCATTTTTTGCTGGTTGTCATGGCTTATGTTTTGTTGAATGAACTTCTATTTTTCTTTCATGAGTTCTAAATTTTGTGTAAAGGACAGACATTTCCCTTTTTGTAATTATAATTTTCCACACCTTTTTCATTAATAATAGACCCATCTGGAATTTACTTTAATGTATTATAAGAAGTTAAGAATCGTTAATGAGGGCTTGCTGTCAAACAAAAATCATGCTATCCTTTCCAAACTACAAAATTTCAATTGAATGATGGCTGCCCAACCATGGAGTATATTTTCTAGTCCTTTGTTTCCTTTCATGGACCATGTGACCAGGAATTGAATATAAAATATAAATGGATGTGATGTGTCGCTTCCAGAGAAAGCTTTCAAGACATTTTCTGTCCATCCCACCATCTAGATATAGGCAACAGAAGGGCCAATTTGAAATGTGGTACCTAAGTTGGCAGGAACCTGGGTTCCTGAATCACTTGGATAAGACAGCTATATAGTGACTATTACATGAGTAAGAAATATATTCTATTGTGTAAGCCAGTTAAATGTTGGGGCTAATTTATTAAAATGGCTAGTATGGCTTTACTAATAAAGGATCCAATGAAAAGGATCCAATAGCTATCCCTAACCATCCATATCTGAGCATACTTCGTTTTATTCAGTGAGCTCTCTGCCCATTGACATTGAAAGGGATGCATGCATTAAATAGCATTTGTAAAGAATCTGCAGGAAAGATGCTTTGTCAGTGGGTGATTTTTCAGAGTTAACCACTGTTAAAGTGAGAATTCTATTCAGTGCACTTGTGTCATCCACATCACTAGACTAGACCATGGCAGAATCTGAAAGTAAAAAGCAGAGGTACATCAAACCAGTCCAGGCTTATTTTAATTTCTACTATTACTAATAACATTTCATTTAAAAATAAGACATCCAGGACAAATTTTAACTAAACGTTTTACCAGGGCAATAGTAGAAAACCAGTTTTGGCTACTGGTGACAGAGTTAACAATTATATTAAAAAATTACCAAATTACTAAGCAGAAGAGCCCTTCATTTGTGAGTATGAATGGAAATAAAAGATTGCAAATGAGGAATATAAAAGGGAGGGGAAAATGATTAAATATATGTAATACTTGAAGGACTGAACTACAAATATTGGGGGATTAAGCCTGATGTTGAATTTTAAAATATTTAAGCATGGCAGCAGACATTTTTTCTCTTTGCTGTCTGACTTTAAAAGTGCTTTAAAGGATCATTTTGCAAATCAATCTTGTTTTAAAATGTATTTGAATTCTGTTTTGTAAATGAGTCTTCTATTCATTTTTGTTGCAACTAGTTTAAAATCAGTTGTGAATCTTTAATTAAAAGTAGTCACTGGATAAAACACCAAACTTAAAAGTTTTGAAGCCTTTAGCAAAATGGGATTATTGAAAACAGATTTGCTTAAATGACTGCCATTTTTACCACCACAAATGTGAAAGAGGAAGTAAACAAATTAAACAAGAGCTCAAATACTGTACACAACTTAATTTTGAAATTTTATAATTGTTTCTTGTGTTTTCGCAACTTGTGAGAAAGCTTTTTGCCAAGTTTTGACTTTAACAATAAATTTATATTCTGCACTGAAGGAGAAATGAACTGGGAAAGGCCTGTTTTTTTTTTTTTGCAACATCACTATTCAGTTTAATAAAACAAAAGGTTTGAGATTATCAGAAATAGAAATTATTTTATAGGTTTGCTTAAAATGATAATCACAATAAAATAATGATGAAAATATTTGGAATGAATATTTAAATATTTCAATGCAAAAAAATCCCATAATGAAAAGCTGTCACATAGCAGAATTTTCTTTGCTTGTCAGTCACCTTACCACGTGTAGAAAAAGTTATTTTTTTTCAATAAAATACGGGCTGTAGCAGAGTCTACTGAAGGCATCAATAATTCAGATTTGCTAACAGTAATGTAAACTTGAAGAATATGACAACTGTATGAATTGACTAAAAATAATAACAACATATTTGCAACTGGATGCCCAGAAGGCTGAAATATTTCCAATTAGGTGAAAATTACCAAGTCACAGATTCCACAAACTCAAAGATACTAAAGAAGTTTAAATAGAAAAAAAAGCAGTCAAATTGTTGAAAACCAGTAATAAAGAATATCATCAAAGTAGCTAGAAGAAAATAAAGGTGTAATTCATAGATAGAAATAATGTAGGAATGAGGCTGAATTCTAATCAAAGCATTGTATAAAGAAGATCATGCAATCACATCTTAAAAAGTGCTTAAGAAAATTCTCTCAACTTAAAGTTCTAAATCCAGTTAAATAATTATTTTAAAATGAGGAGAAAATAAAGATATCTCTTGATCCATGGATCAAAGAAAAACACAAGGGAAATTTAAATTTATTTTGAAATAATTATAAATATTCATATATAAAAATGTGTACAAAAGGAAATTCATAGCATTAAAAGTTTTCTTAGAATAAATAAAAGGGTTAAAATCAATGGCTTAACCTACTGCCTTAAAAAGCTAGATAAAGAGAATATTAAGTCTAAAGTAGATGGCAAATAGGGAGGAAGAGAGAGCAGATATTAATGAACTAGAAAGAGAAATAACAGAGAAAATCCAAAAGGCCAAAAGTTGGTTCTTTGAAAAATTTAATAACATTCATAACTTTTAGCCATTTGGATCAAAAGATAAAACAGATACAATACAAATTACCAATATCAAGAATTCCACAGGGACCATCACTAGAAACATTAAAATAATAAGGAAATAATCACTTGACCACTTTGCTGAAAAATGGTTAGATTCCTTACAAGATAAAATATCAAAATTGACCAAAGAAGAAACAGAACATCTGAATGGACTTGTAACTTGTCGACAAAAGTGAATTTGAAATTAAAAACAAAACAAAAAAATTATTCCAGGAAAACTGCAGACCCAGAAGACTTCACTGGTGAATTCTATTAAACATTCAGGAAAAATGAGGAAGAAATAACATCAACCATACATCATCTATTTTAGAAAATAGAGGAGGAGGAACACTTACCAGCGGATTTCCTGAGGGTAGCACAACCCTGATACGAAAACCTGAGAAAGACATTACAAAAAAGGGAAGTGCAGACTAATAGCCCTCACAAGCACAGGGAAAAAAATAAAATTAAAAATACTAACAATATATGAAAATAATGATATGCTATGACCAAATGTGGGTCATAGTAGTCATGTAAGGTTTGTGTAATTTTTTAAAACCACTTACCACAAATTACTGTATTAACAGAATAAGAACGAAATGATATGACTATATTAAGAGATAAACAACAAGTATTTGACAAACCCATCCATGGTATAACATCTGCACAAACTGGGAGCATAAAGGAGTTTCTTCAATCTGATAGAAGACCTTTATGAAAACTCCCTGATATTCATCATAAGGATGAAAAAGTGAACATGTTCCCTAGAAAGTTGGGAGCAAGGCAATTTTTCTCAGCTTTTTTATTTTTTATAATATTTTATTGGATATTTTAGCAGGTGCATTAATTAAGCAAGTGAGAAAAAAGAGAGAAAAATTATAAAGAATTAAATAAAATGATCTTTATAAGTCATTACATAATTGTGTAGATAAAAACTACTAAAGAAACTATACAAAAATCTACAAGAACTAATAAATGAACATGACAAGATTACACAATGTATTGCATAACAAAATCAATTGTATTTTAAGTACTAATTAAAAAGTCTTGAAAAAGAATTTTAAATTAATATTATTTACAATGACAAATATTAAAATTACTTAGGAGTAAATCTACTAAAAACTACAAGATATTCTTGAATGAAGTTAAAGACAACATTAAAGTGGAGAAATAAATTATGGTCATGGGCTAGAAGACCTAATATCGCTAAGATATGTATTTTCCCCAAACAGGCATGTAAGTCATCATAACCCAGTAGGGATCCCAGAGGCATTTTTAAGAAATTGACAAATGACTCTCTAAAACTAACATGTAAATTCAAAGAACCTAGAGTAGCTAAAACAAGTCAGAAAAGAAAAATGTTGGATATTTACACACTCAACTTTAAAAATTAATAAAAAGTTTCAATAATCAAGGCAGTGTGGTATTACCCTTAGTGTAGATAAGCAGATCAATGGCACAGAAATAAAGCCACATACAAACTGTCCATGATTTTTTAAAATAGGTGCAAAGTTAATCTTATGCTAAGGATTGTCTTGACAAATGAGGTTGGGACAGCTAGGTAGCTATTCTGGGAAGAAAATGAACCCCTATCCATATCTCCTAACAAATAGAAGTATCTGGATCATAGACCTAAATGTAAAATTTTAAATCTTAGCTTTGAGAAGATGATTTTTTTTTGTAGTCTTGAAGTCGTCATAGATTTCTTAGGACACAGAAATCACTAGCCATGAAAAGAATGATAAATTGGATTTATAAACTTTAAAAACTTCTGTTCATCAAAATATACCATTAAAATGCATAGAAAAGCCTCCAATTGGAGAATAAATAATAAGCTGCATTTTCACAATGTAATACATGTAAAAAGTACAATGAAAATAAGATTCCATTTATAGTATGAACAATATATGAAATACTTGAATTCCAGGAATAAATTTCTAATCTTATACTTGATTGTAGACACTATAATAAAGATGACAACACTTTCTAATTTAGTAAATATATTTTAATGGAAGACTAATTAATTTTTCTCAGGATATGTTCAATAACAATTTAAAGTAGGATTTCCAACTCAAGGAAACATGCCTTTGTTAAAAGTTCATTTGACTATTCTTAATAGTGCATTTTTTTTATCAGATTGGATTGAGGCAATTCTATAAAGGTCTTTGATTTGTCAGTGGATATTCAAACAAACCTTCAAAAAAAGGTTAAGAAGACTGGAATAAAAATTAGGCCATGAGCAGCCCCAAATACCATAACAAGAAACATAATCTTGAAAAATGTCCTGAAGATGTACGCTTTAGCTGTAGCTAAAACACACACCCCTATTATTGTTGAAATTGCACTTTGTAATACTGGATAGCCTAGCAGATACAATGCCTCAATTGATTTTTGGTTTACTGAAGTCTTAGTACTGGAAACAAATGCATAAGATATGTGTGCAGAAAAATCAAAAGAAAATCCTATACAAATGACAAGATTAATCATGGATATGGAATCAAGATTGACATTCCAAAATGCCATGAAACCTGTTACTCCCACAATCACAGAAGCAATAGCAAAAGTTACCCACAAGGAACACATTGGATGAGGAATTAACAATAAGGAAACAATGAACATAGCTGTCGACGCAACCATGATATTCCGCACAGTGTTTTCTATGATTGCAGCATACTGATCAAAATATATGAATGCCTGGTTATACACCATTAGAGGAATCTCACACTTTTCGGCTGTTTCTCGTAATTGGAGTAACATTATTTTCTTATTGGTTGAGGAAGAAACGCCCATAGTCTGAATGAAACCCCGGGAGGAAATGATTTCATTTGATGTAATATTAATATCATATGTAAAAACTGGAAATTTACGTAAAAAATGAGACATACCATTCATAAAAGTATTCTTATCATTAGGGTCCTGTCCATTTCTTTTCATATAATCCATATATGTATGTAACCAAAACTCTGTAAGATTTCTTTCTACATAGTCATTTTCTTTAAAATTTTCTATACATTTTTCCAATTTTTCCCTTACATCTTCATCCCAGTAGTTAATACTTTCAGTAATAATAATCATAACCCTGGGACCGTATTCTGAAAAATAATCTTCCTCTACATTAAAATATGGTGTAATGTAGGAATCATCACTTGCTAGATTTCGGAGGTCTAAACCTTCCTGCACTTGGAAACACCCATATATGCTGCTTATGATGTACAAAATGTATATCACCACCACAAAAAACTTGGACATAGTTCTTGTGAGTACAGGACCAAAATAGTCTCTAAAGAACAAATTCATTGGATGGATATCAGTTCCTTGTTCATCTGGGACAGAAGAAAATGGGAGACAGCAGGCCTTTTTTAATGAGGAATATTTCTGATCTGGCTTTTTCAACCAGCGTAGGCAGAGTATTTCTCTTTTACCATCCAGGGCCATAAATGCTCCAAAACAGGTGATGTTATAAAAATAACAAAAGAGCAGGGTTGTTCCTGTATAGATGCAAAAGTATTGTACGGACCTGAAAGAACTCATAATCCCTGTATAGAAGGCCAGGACATTGGTGATGGTGGTGATTGTAATAGACACTGCCACCTTTGAATAGACAGTGGCCATCCGCTCTTTTATGCTATCCATAAGACTGGTCTTCTGCCAGGCAGAAATCATGATAAACATATCATCAACCCCAACACCTGTTAGAAAAAAAAAGAAACAGAATCTTCTTCATATTAAATAAATCAAAAATTTAAAAGATCAACCTTTTTCTTTTTCAAGGTCTTATTTATCTTGCCCATTCTCTGCTTAAACACCAACTTTTCTATGATGCTTTCTCAAGTTGCCTCTGAACACACAACAGAATTCACCACTCCATTCTCTGTATTAAGTCTTTGTTTTGAACAGGCCCCCTATTATTTGCACACATCATGGTATCCACTGATCCTAGCCTTCACTTAAGGTGATTGAGTGATGAGATCAGGAAACCTAGCTGATTGAGTGTTAGCTGAAGTAGCACCAGCAATGTATCTTTGATTTCACTAGATTGCAAAGAAGATCATTTTCTTTTGTAAACCATTTTACACTAACATACAAATACAGCCATCCAACATTCTGTTACTTAAAATATAAGCTGGATATATGTGTTGTACAGTTAACATCAGGCTATTTATGTGGTAAATTTGAATGGTATCTCATACTCTACAGACATAGACCCAGAAACCTAGACAAATGCAATTTCCTGCTAGTCTATTTTGGACATCTAAAATGCTATTAATTTCACTTGCTAAGGATAAGACATCATCTTACTGCTCCTAAAGCCAATGCTCCTGAGATCAGAAATATGTACCACAGTAAACCTTAAGAATCCTTTATTTACCAATGCCTACTAGGCAGTTAGTTCCTTTCTACAAAGACAATTCATTATTGGCCTGAAACAGAAGAATGTTCAAGGATTCTGAAGTCATCAATAAAGACTAGGAAAAAATTACAAAAAAAGGGGGAGGGGACTAGAAAGGGTAACATGAGCATGATGCAGATAAATTGCACCTAAACTTTCTACTAAAGTTCACACTACTTTCACTCTTGTGAGCCTTTGCTTCCATGTGTATTGATATAACATCAGTACTTGGGACTAAAGTGTAGATTTTAATTTCAATTTCTTTTTTTATGGACTACATGTTAAATTTGGGAGAATAATGGGAATTGCAACCTGCCAGATGTTCCCTGGTATTATCAAGGTAGGATGATCCAAATGAGCACAAAGCTATGTAATCTGTCATAACCTGCACTGTGGCACCCTTATTGTCACCAGCTTTGAGAATTCCAGTTGTGTTCAGTTAGACAAAAAAGGGAACAATTACAAGCTCTAAGGACCAAGAATGAACTCACTGATATGTTAGGTATTTAAAAACTAATTTTATTACTTACAGAACCTTGTTCAGAAATTGTCCTCACACATTTCTTGTTTAAATTGCTGAAATAATATATGTGTGTATACATACACAATTCTATATATACAGAGACTGTATAAAAATGGCTTACACTAAATCAGATAATGCATCTTAACTATAGATACTTAAGGCTCCAGAATACACGGAGTAATTGAGTGTGTACAAAGGTGTTCCTTGAAGAGCCACCATAAACTGACACCCTTTGGACAGCACATTCACCACCTCTCCTCCAGAAAATCAAAAAATTATTTTGTCCAAGTTGCTTACTTTCCAAATTTTAAATACCTTTGATTTCTCATGCTTTCTGTAAAATAAATTCTGAAGATACCATGCAGATGACAAAAACAATGGAAAACTACTGTGTAATTCCACACTTCAGGGATAACATCCATTTAGAATTTGTCTTATGTAAGTATGCATACAACTATCTCTCCGTTTCAAGCAATCCTGCTTTATAACCAGAAATTTTCATTAAACTTACATAATCTACCTTTTCAAAAAGACTGAATATAATTCAAGTATTTCAGTATAGTATGTTCAACTTGACAAATCCCATATTGATATGGGATTGGGTTGTTTCTGATATTTTCTTATTCTAAATCATAGCAAAATGAACATACATCTACTTTTACATACTTGTCTAATCATTAGAACAAATTCATAGAAGTGAAATTGGTAGGTCAAAGATGCTCCCTTTTTAAATCTTTTGATTTGTTGCAAACTTTGACCAAAAAATATCTAAAAGTGTCAGTTTACATTTTCCCACAGAAGAATATGAGGGTGTTCATTTGCATACAACCTTCCCCAAATCTTCAATCTTGCTAGTTATTCCAATAAGAAAACAAGCTGTATCACTTTTAGTCTAATTTGTTTTCCATGATTCATCCAGAAGTCAAGGTTTTTTTCTTATATTTGCAGTTATGTGTTTGTGAGTGTGTGTGTGTGTGTGTGTGTGTGTGTGTGTGTATGAGAGGAGAGTGGGGAGAGGGGGGAGAGAGAAAGAGAGAAAGGGAGGGAGAAGAAAAGTTGCTGTTCATGTCCCCTGTCTATTTGTCTATTTGGGGTACTAGATTTTTGCAATTCCAATGATACATGATTCAATATGATTTTCCTGTTTCCTGACACTTCATTTTGGATATGTGCAGCAACCTAAATACAATTCCTTCCCTTATATATCCCACCCCCCTATATACACAATGTGTAACCTCACATTTTTTATTTTACTCACCTAGAATAAGAAATGGTGAATTTGCAACTATGATCACAAATGGCACCCCAATGTACAACATCAGGCCAAAGCCGCTCACCACTGCAAAGGCAGCAGACACCACTCCAAAGACTGCAACCCACATTTTGTTTCGTACACAGTCAAACCTGTAAATTTGGAGGGAAAAATCATGGAATTTGCGGTGGTAGCTTCTATACTGAAATTCCATCAATTGATAACATTTTTGAATTGGATAACAAGTCAGAAACCTCTGGGGGAATAATTTTCACAGTTGTCTGCAGAATTCCTTTAAATTCCTAGGTACTATCCCAGACCAAATGACAGAAAAAAGGGGTAGAGGACAGAAATGTTGAAAATCTCTAATTTCACCAAACTCTCCTGGGTGATTTTTGGGTAGCAAGCCAAACATTAATACACGTACTAACATTTCAGAATTTCAGAGATTTAAATCACTGAAATGTTAGTACGTGTATTAATGAATTTCAGAGATTTAAATCAGATGGTTAACTCCACTCAGATCTTCAGTAGGGTGTGAATGGACTATAATTGTTAATGGAAAGATGGAAGATATCTTAGTCTTTTTTTTTTTTTTGTCCTATAACAAAATACCACAGTCTGGGTAATTTGTAAAGAAAAGAGGTTTGGATATCTAAGAGCATGTTGGCATACTGCAAGGCTCCCCTCACCGTGTGTAATAACATGGTGGATGGTGTCATAGTGGGAATAAATATGAGAGGGAATGTATACATGGCAAGTCAGAAAACCACATAGATTCAGGAGTTAATGCTTGCTCTTTTTATAATAACTTGATCTCAGGAACTAATTGAGGTCCAACGAGAACTACATTAATCCCTTCTGAGGGTGGTACCCACTATCACCTAATACTTTCCACTAGACCCCACTTCTTTTATCTATCTATCTACCTATCAATCAATCAGTCATCTATTTTATTGTACTGGGGATTGAACCCAAGACTTTTGCATGCTAGGTAAGTTCTCCACCACTGTTCTTATGTGAGCACTTTGTTAAACACTTAAAAGTTGGAAGATAATAAATACAGAACCCTAAAATGTGTTTGAATAAGGGTCTGTCGTCAGGTAAATGCACACATGCAAGGTATAATCTTCAGATATGTGTGTCAAGACAGGCAGAATGGAATATGACCTATGGACTATCTAGGAGGCTCCATTCAGAACACAGATAAGAGACCCTCAGTGATCCAGAAGAAAGAGAAACAAGACATGTTCAAGGAAATTACAGAAGCATTCACAGAAGGATTATTTTTTAAATTCAAGTTCAGAGAAAGCATATATTATACTATCATGAAGTTCTCATGTCCTCAGAATTTTCTCATTCCATTTCCTCTACTCTTCGAGCATGCTCCAACTCACAACCCAGGTCAGCAAGATAGAGAAAATGATAAGTGGTTGGGGAGGGCTGGCAAGTCCCTTTTCCCCATTAAGGGCAATCCCTTGTAGTAAGATCCAGTCAGTAGAGATGGAAAAACCTTAGCTTCAAATTATCACTTGTGTTTATTACATTGATGTGGATATTTTAATTCTGACTGGAGGGCTTTGTCTTACCTAAAAATTACCACAAAAGTCACAGAGCCAGCTTGAGTTTTCATGGGGAAGAGGAAGAATTTGGTTTACCTACAAAACTTAAAGGGAGACAGGGAGACAAATATAAAGTTGATTTACGCTTATATTTCATGAGTCCTGTGTGTTCCAGATATTGTTTCCACAAGCATGGAAAGTGTTCAAAGAGAGATATAAACCTCTGCATTTATATCTGAATTGCTTTCCACAATCATTTGTAAAGATAAGTACATGTCTAGATAAATCTATACAGTTAAATAATATGATTTGTTCCTAGACCTACCTACACATGAGAAACAGGAAATTTTTAAAATATAAATTGTCAGATTAAATTCTGAGATATTTTGATTCAGTAAGGTAAGGTCAAATTTAATTGTGAGAATATCTGTATTAACTTTCTTTGGGGGATATGAGAATAACTGGGATCATTCTGTGAGGTTCCTTCTAAAAATTCTAATGTTTGCTGCTATTTCTCAAATTTTAGCTTTCTAATCACAAGAAGTCAAATCATGTCCAGTCCAACTTTTAAAGTGTTTAACAAAGTGCTCACATAAGAACAATGGAACTATTCAAGTCAATTGAAGAAGAGCATTGTTTTTATGTAGTAAAAATTATTATTTCAAACTTACAGTGGAAACAGAACTTGCTTCTTGGTACCACACAGTTATCTGCCTTTCAAATTATTAGTTATAACTGATGTAATATATAAGGTAGGAAAGATACACTATATCAACAAAAACTGGCTACAATTTTTTTCTATTCCACAATTGCTGAAGGACAAAATTTCAAAAGTTATCAGGCTTAAAAACTAAGAGTTTAGCATTAGACATCAGCAAGAGGATAGAGAAGGAAGCACTCATCTCCTCACAGAAACATCAAAAAATAAGCAGAAGCTGTTAGAACCAATTTTTTGAATTCTGGAAGTCAAAACAGATCAAAATACAGAATCCAAAGAAAAGGGCACTTCAAAACAGGTTTTGTAGTAATTTCACATGCCCATACTTACTGTCTCCCTGGTGTGGTGGCAATCTTTTAAATGGTAAAGTCTTAAAGTAACAGGGATATAAAAGTGGACATGGTATTCATTCACATAGTAGCAGTCTCAAGTAGCAGTATTAAAGTGGTGACATCCCATGTTTCCAGTGTGGAACGATTTCCATGGATCTGGAGGGAGCTGAGCTGACCTATTCATAAAATGATGCATCTGTTCTCACTTGTCTGGGGCTACCTGGATACAAGGCATTCCTCTATATTCTTCCTAAATTATAACTCAGGTTGAAAGAGCTAGAATACTATGCAAGCTGAATCCACACCCCTCAGATTCCTGATCCAAATATCAGAGTCCAAACACACAAAAGACTGTCTGAAGCAACAGATGCATTTCTCTGGGAATTTAGAAGACTCAAAAACAATCTTGGGAAATTTAGAAATTCACAATAAACAGTAATTCTTAAGTTCAAGGAAGAAATAAAAATCCCCAGTAGAGATAAATTCATTGATAAATATAAAAAAACAAGTACTACTTTATTTGGGGTTCAACTCCACATTTCCTATAGAGTCTATTAGACAAATAAATAAAAATAATCATTAGCTTATGTTACAGGACATACATTGTATAAAGATATATTTGGGAACAACAAAAGGAGAGAGGACAGAGATGTATAAGAGTAGAGTTTTTGTGTCTGTGAGGTTAAATTGGTTATCAGTTCAATATTCAGTCATGAGATATTTTGGCTAACAATAATTTAGTCAATGAGGATCTACATACATAATGGTGGTTCCATAAGATGAAAACAGCTAAAAAATTCCTGTCACCTAGTGGATATAGAGCTGAAGAAGACACAAGGAAAAAAACAAGAAGGAAAAAAACCTCCAAAAAATTCCTAACAAAGAGTGTAGTAGAAGCTTTGCAGACCTCAACAAGCTCCTTAAAAAGTTAGAAAATTTGGATCACAATAACAAAGGTTTTGTTACTAGAGAGGAATGTTCATGGTACATTAATTGCTTATAAGAAATTAATGATGGGGGGTAAAAAAAAGCAAACCACTGTGGACATATTTCTGAAAAAAGATACCTCTTCAAGAAGAGCCTTTGACAAGCTCTTCAGATGTTCCAGAAGAAGGCACTATTATCACTGGAGGTGAGAGCTCCCTGGGTGTAACTGCCGCTCCAGACATTCCGGATTAGTGTGTGTGTGTGTGTGTGTGTGTGTGTGTGTGTGTGTGTGTGTTTGTGTTTAATAACTAGTTTAAAAGTACAAAATAAAATTTAATAGAATAGATTTTAGAATAAGCATATAAAGGAAGAAAATCTTTTTGTACACCTGTACAATCCATTTGTTTTTGGTTAAGTGTTATCACAAAAGTCAAAAAGTTTTAAAATAATAAAAAGTTATAAAGCAAAATGATACAGTAAGCTAAAATTAACCCAGTACTGAATTGTTTTCTTTGGTTTTGTTTTTGTGAATTTACTATATCCCAAGTGTACTGAGTTTTAAGCATAAATAGTAATGTTGTAATGTTCCAGGACTTCACATTTACTCCCCATTAACACATTGACTCCCCCACAGCAACTTCCAAACTTGAAAGCTATATTCATGGAAAGTGCCCTATACAGGTATAATATTTTTATCTTGTATATCATATTTCAACTGTACCTTTTCTATGCTAAGATACATTTGAATGCACAAATACTAATCATTGTGTAACAACTGCCTATTGTAGTAATATAATATGCTATTTAGGTTTACAGCCAAGGAACAATAGGCTATACTATATAAGTTTGTATAAGGTTACTCTGTAATGTTTGCACGACATTCAAATTGCCTAACAACACATTTCTCAGATTGTATCCACATCATTAAGTGATGTGATCATAGATTGTTTTAAATTTAGGATGCTATATCTAATCCCCATAGCAACTACAAAAAAAATCTCTTAGAAACATCATAAAAGGAAATGAGAAAGGAATCAAAGGAGTTCCCTAAGAGAATATAAATTAAACTTAGGGAAAAAAAGCATAATGGGGGTCGGGGGAAAGCTGTAAGACATACAGAACACAAACAGGAAAATGAATGGCAAAAGCAAGTCTTTATAGCAATTTCCTTAAATGAAATGGATTCAACTCTCTAATCAAAAGATATCTATTCACAGAATGGATAAAACATGTTCCAACTATATGCTGTCTATAACAGACTCACTTTAGATCAGAGACATAAATACATTGAAAGTGAAGTACAGAAAGAGTTCTACATTAATAGTTAGAAAATTCAATACACCAATTTTAATAATGAATAAAACATCTAGACAGAAAACCAATAAGGACATAGAAAAAATGAAGAGCATTACAAACCAATTAGAATCTGCAGAGATGTAGAAAATTCAACCTAACAATAGGAGAATATACATTCCTCTCACAAGCACATAGAACAATTCCTAAGATAGATTATATGCTAGTGTTACAATTTGGATATTAGGTATCCTCCCAAAAGCTCAAGTGTGAGACAATGCAAGAAGGCTTAGAGGTAAAATGACTGGGTCATGACAGCCTTAACCCAATCAGTGAATTAATCCCCTGAGATTAACTGAGTGGTAACTGAAGGTAGGCAGGGTATGGCTGGAAGAGGTGAGTCATTGAGTGCATGCCTTTGTGATATATATTTTGTATCTGGTGAGTAGACTCTCTCTCTGTCTCTGGTTCCTGGTGCAATGTCTTGAGCAAGTTCCCTATACCACACTCTTCCACCATGATATTCCACCTCACCTGAGCCCTAAGGAATGGAACTGACTATGGACTGACACTGACACTTCTGAAACCATGAGCCCCCAAATAAATTTTCCTCTTCTAAAATTGTTCTTGTCAGGTATTTTAGTCATTGCAGCAAAAAGCTGACTAAAACAAGCATCATCTCACTATGTCCTCACATCATTGAAGGAGCTAATAAGCTCCCCCAGAACTCTTTCATAAAGGCACTAATCTCTGTCTAGTCATCTCGAAAAGGCCTCAACTTTTCATACTATCACTAAGGGGATCTTTCATCATAACAATTCTGGGAAGACCATACCAAGAAAAGTGGAAACATTTAGAAGAGATAAATAAAATAGAATACAAAAACAATAGAATCAATAAAATAAAAAGTTGGTTCTTTGAAAAGATCAATAAACTTGACTAAACATTACTTTGGACAACGAAGAAAATATAAGAAGACACAAGTAGCTAAATCAGTATGAAAGTAGGGACATTATAAAAGAAGTATAAAAATTCATAAGAGAATATTATGAACAACTGAATGCAAACAAGTTGGGTAACCTAAACAAATGCACAAATTCCTACCAACACACAAACTACCTAAACTGACTCAAAATGAAATAGAAAATCGCAATATACATAACAATTAAAATTGAACCAATAATCATAAAACACCCAAAAAGTGAAGTTTGGGACCAAATGGTTTCACTAATGGAGTCTACCAAACAACCAAAGAGAATTAACAATGATCCTTCTCAAACACTCTCAGAAAATTGAAGCAGAGGGAACACTTCTTACACTGATATCAGAACCAAAGACCTAACAAGAAAATTAGACCACTATCTCTTATTTATATAGATGTGAAAGTCTTCAACAAATTCTAGCAACACAATTTAAAAACATAATAAAATAGTTCTATATCACTGTCAAATGGGATTTACACCAGAATGCAAGGGTAATTCAATAGGAGAAAACCAGTCAACATAATCCATCAGATTAATAGAACGAAGGAAAACACATAATTTTCTCAATAGATGCTGAAAATGCATTAACAAAATCCCACACTGTGATGTTAAAAAATACTTAATGACTAAGAATAGAAGGGAGATTTCTCCAAATGAGGAGGACATTTATGAAAATTTCACAACTAACGTCATATTCAAGACTGAAAGATGGGAAGATTTTCATTTAAGATTAGGGATAAGGTCAGGATGCTTACTTTCACCACTGATATTTAACACTGTTCTGGAAGTTCCAGCCAGAGCAATTATATAAGAAATAGAAAATAAAAGATATTCAAATAAGAAAGAAATATAAATATCCCTTTTCACAGAGTATATGATCCCATATACAAACATTCCAAAGAATCTACAAGACAACTACCAGGGTTAATAAACAAATTCAGCAAAACTGCAAGATATAAGATCAACATGTGCAATGAAAAATCCAAAAAAGAAATTAAGAAAATAATTACATTTAAATAGCTATAAACAAATTCAATGCCAGGAATAAATTTAACCAAGCAAGTGAAAGACTTGTACATTGAAAATACCAAACATTAGTGAAAGAAACTAGACACAAAAAGTGGAAAAACCCTTAGCTCATGGATAGGATGGATAATTCATGACATTTATTGCTAAAATGTCAATTCTACCCTAAACAATTTACCAATATAATTCCTATCAAAATTCATTTTCTCCTAAGAAATGGAGAAAACATTTCTCAAATTCATATGGAATTGCAAGGAGCCCTAGATGACCAAAACAATCTTGAAAAGGAACAAAGTTAGAGGACTCAATATTATTCAGACAATATAAAGGAATGTTCTGATACCTGGTATAAGATGAGTGGATCTTGAAAACATTATGATAAGTGAAATAAGCCAGTAAGAAAAAAACAAGTCTCTAGAATAGGCAAATTCATAGAGATAGAATTTAGAATAAAAATTCACTGGGACTGGGAGGAGGGAGCTATGATGCATTATTGCATAATGAGCAGAGTTTCTGTTTGAAGTGATGGAGAAATTTGGAAATAGATGGTTGCACAACAGTGTGGATATAATTAATATCATTAATTGTACTACTAAAAATGGTTAAGATAGGATATCTTATGTTATATGATATATATATATATATGTTTTATCACAATCTTTTTACAAAGTAAGAGATAAAAAAACTAATAAAAGTATCTTACCTGTAGCATGATATAATTGCAAATATTATGATTAGAAGGTAGGCCAAGTGAAACAAAGGGACCACTGTCATAGAAGTTGCCTCAAATTCCAGCTGTCTGGAAAGTGATGTAAAGTGGACCACCTGCCAAAAAAAATATACTCAGGTAAATATCTTTGAATTTCAATATTTGTGTATGAGTTACAAACACTATTGAAATACTTTAGCTTATTGATAGAATCAAAATTTAGTGAAAGATCAAAATACATGGGTTATAATTTTAGAATAGAGAAGATAATATAGATTTACTTCTTCCCACAAAATCTGTTGTGCTTTCCAAACTCTTTTAAAAATTGAATGCCCAAACTGAATGTTATATCAAGTTGTGAAATCTTGTCTTCCTTAAAAACTGAGACGTGGTCTCTCACTCTCCCCCTCTCCTCTCTCTTACCCTCTCCCCTTCTCCCCCTCTGTTCTCTCTCTCTCTCCCTCTCTCTCCCTCCCCTCCCCCCTCTCTCTCTATATATACAGACACACCCCCTTCTCTTCTCAGACTGGCTGCCATAGTCCCGCTAATAAAATCTCAGACAGGTAAACAGTTGTTTCGGCTTGTTGAGTTTATGGAGCTTTTCTGCCGTTCCTACATTGGTGCCAAAACCCAGGATGGGGATCCCTATCACTCAAGGTGGAACCCCATTCCCAAACTCCGAGCCCAACAGTTCCTGTCGAAGTCCACTCCTCTGATCGCCTGCCTGACATCCACCACCAGCCTGCAGATTGGGATTACCAGCTACTTGCTAACGAGCTGGACAACACTCATGTCCACTCATCCCAAGAAACCTCCACCAAGTGCTGAAAGATGAAGATACCAAATGACAACTCCTCCAAAGGGCCATCTCTACACTACCATGCCAAAGAAATAAGCCCTGGTTTTCAGCTTTATATGTTCTAACTTGCCTTCTCCTGGGCATAGGCCTTTTTCTACCAGCCCTACAGACTGGACGACATGCCAGAAATTAATGCTGTTTCTTTTCATAGTTGCAGGGCACATTCATGGTCTTCTCCCTGGAGGAAATCCAGGCCTTCAGTGCATGGATATGGTACCTCCTGGCCCTCCTTCTCCAACCAACTGTCCTCCCTCCCTCTCTCTAAACTACACCCCTTCTCAGCAGGAAGTAGCCAGATCCATTACAACACCCCCAAACCAAAACAAAAAAGGGAGAAATGTTGGTAAAGATGGTGCCCGGAGCACTTCTCTTCTGGGAGCTCAGGTCCGTGACGCACTGAATGGCGCAAACCATCACCTCCAATCCCTGTGAATGGCACAAACTTTGAATGGCGCACCTCCAATCCCTGAAGTGGCGAGAACTCTCAGCCAATGAAGAAGTAACAGCCCACTTGCCTTGCTCCTCCTCATCCTGCGTTGAGCCCATACTCTGTCTCTCACTCTCCCCCTCTCCTCTCTCTTCCCCTCTCCTCTCCTCCCCCCACTTCCTCTCTCTCAACCCCCTTTTCTTCTGCGACTGGCTGCCAGAGTCCTGCTAATAAAATCTCGGACAGGTTAAAAAAAAAAAAACTGAAACGTGTGTTTTGTTTTCTAAATTTTTACTAGAATGGTATCTTTTCTTATTTTACTTGCAAAAGCATCATTTCAAGAAGGCCTGCTCTTCAGAGGCTCTTTTCAGTGTGTGTCCCACTTTCACCAAATTGCCAGAGCCAAAATTACCATATACCTAACAAGTAACTTACACTAAACTAGGTGCTTTATCTGTAAGTAACTTGAAAAATGGTGAGCTAGTTATCTTCTTAGTACCAAGGAACTTCCCTCAAAGTCTCATTTTAATCCCAGTGAGCTCCAAACAAGTTTTAAAGGGCTCTGAGAAATCGGAAAAGACTGTCTGAAGATAAGATTTTTTCCAGGTAATTTGATTAGAAAAAACAAACCCAAAATGAAATGTGAATCCTAAACATAGGATTTGTGTTATGGACCAGAATATTAACAATTATTTATAATTTATGGTTATCCTTCAATATAAGGGCCAAATGCTACACAGCACACCCAGCTTTGAGTCAAGGTCCCCCTCAAATAGGAAATGCTATTGTTACTGTCCTTCCAACAAGCCTTTCTCATACTTCCCACCTTCTCTCAGCTTCCCTGTACCTGGATATTTTTAAAGGCCAGCTTCTCCTTAAGGCTGTAAAATTCGTCCAAAAAATGAACCAGCCACTCCTTGCTCTGCTCGCTGTCCTCCTTGACTTCAGTCTTCAGATAGTACAAGAGCCTCATGGCTTTGGTTTCCAGAAGTAAGTGGTTCTGTCCTACAGAATCGCCCAAGGTATTTCCACCAAAGAAGCCAGCCAGGTAGATGAAGTGGTTCTTATAGTTATGCATGGGGAAGGTGAATGTTTTCAGGTCGAGGGTTTTGTTCCTCTGCCAGACGTACAGGAGTGGGTTGGAGGGCACACAGAAGGTCCTGTACTTGGCACACACCTCTTTGTAGTGGATAGGGGCTCCATTTTCCTTTCTCACACTCAGAGTCTGCACTGCTTGGTCTAATTGACTAACTTCCTCAAAGATTTCGGATTCCAGCAGTGTTTCGCTGTTGGAGACCACCAGAATGGAAGCAAAATTGTTCTCGCTGCTGCTCCTGGTAGAAGAGAAGCGATATGAGTCATTGGTGGTGAAATGTGCCTGCACAAATCGCCGCTCAGCCTTGGCAGGGCTCCCAATCGGAGTGTACTGCTCCTCGAGGTTTTCTTCTTCTTCCTTGGGCAGGTAAATAAAGCCGATGCCAAGCGCAGCCGTCAGTAGGATGGGGACCAGCAGGAAGATCCAGGGGTGTGAACCCACACACCTTCCCAGCCGTTCGAAGGCGCGGGAGAGTGGCTTCTCCAGGCAGTTGGTGTAGCAACGAGTTCTGTGGACTGTCTCAGTCTCTTGAGTTATCCTCGATGGCTCTCGCTGAGGGGTCCTCAATGACTCCTGGGGCGGCTGCTGGGGCTGCTGGGGCTGCTGCGGTGGTGGTGGTGGTGGCGGAGGAGGAGGCGGCGGCGGCGGCGGCGGCTGCGACGGCTGGAGCTGCTTGGATTCCTGCCTCAATGGCGGTAGCCGCTCTGCGCTCTGCCCTGAAGCCCAGCTCGGTTTTGATTCCCGTCCCTCATGGGCGCGCAGCTTCGAGGCGTCGAGCAGTCGCCGCTTGGGCCTGGGCAACTCCGGGGAGTCGGGTCCAATCCCGATCTCCGACGTCTCGGCGAACTTGCCCTCCGACAGCTCCTCCTGCCTAGGCTCCGGCGGGGGCGCTGGGCTCACCGGCTCCTCTGGCTCTGGCCCCGCCTGAGTCTCAATTTCCGCCCGTGGCGCGACCTTAGAGGAACTAAGACTCATTTCCGGGAGGCCCAGGAGATGTGCTCTTGCGGGACTGCGGGTTAAAGAGTCACTCCCCACCACCCGACGGTTTCCTGGAGAAATTCTAGGAAGTCTTTGAGCTTGGGGTTCTCGCGCCCGGAAGCTAGAGACATCCTTGCAGAGCACGTGTTTGACCCCGCCCTTAACTGGCTCGAGATTTGTTGGAGGTTTGTCAATCCTCGCTAAACCCAAGAAACGCTTTGCAAATGGGAACAAATGCGTGCCTGGCCTAAAGGACTCATAATTTAGGGGGTGGGAGGGGCGAGAATTTGACTAGTCCTCAATGACCATTTACAGGCACACAAATGGAAAAGAAACATTGTGTGTCTCAGCTAGCACCCTGTCCTTTCCTGGAGTTTATCTAGTAGCAATTTTCAGGTAAGAGTTTTGTGAACCTCATACGCTTGACTTAGTTCCTATTGCTATTCTCTGTCTTCATAATGCCTTGCCCTTGTAAAAATTGGAGGTGAAAACATGCAATGGAAGTGCAAAGGTCTAAATCTTTCTATCCCATTTCTCTTTTCAAAGGAAGGGCCAAATGTGGATCTTTATAATGATGCTTTTCTATGAATCTCCATGCATATCAAAGACATTTAAAAATATACCTTTTTTCATTAATAGTATTACAAAAGCTGTTTGGCCTATTACATTCTTCAGCCAGTACGTCAGAGGATCTTGAGGTACCTGTCAACTACATCTAGAGTCATCTGTTCTCTTCAACTGCTCTTCATCTGATTTCCAAATTATGGATGAAACCCAGAATCCTTTTGATGGACCCATAGATTTAGTCATTTATAAATAGTGCTCATAGAATGAATGTATTTTACTTAACCCATATATAGCAACCATATCTGTGAAATAATTTTAGAGTAGATTTACTAAAGGAAAAGTCCTTTAAAATTTTTATAGCTATTGAGAAATTAATATGCAAAGAAGTTGTATCATCTTATGTCCTCAAAAGCAATGTATGAGTTGTTGTGTTGCCACAGTGTGTCCCACAATGTCAGCAAAATGATTTGTACCATTGGTATTTTTAGTTTAACTTTGAATTTATTGCTTAGTGTTGTTGTATTTCCTTTTGGCTAATTTTCCTATTGGAGGGCTGAGATTTTCTTCTTGATTTATAGAAGCCACTCATATATTAAAGAAATTACTACTTTTCCTGTGATTATAGTTACATGTCCTCACTGACCCCTCTCTGGTTTTGCTAGTTGCCATGTCTTATTTTTGTATTTGAATTAGCTAATGTTTTTCTGTTGTGAGTTCTAAATTTTGTATCATAGTAGTCATACCCCTCTTCTCCCTTTTATGATTATGATTGCTGTGGTTTGACTATACTTATTCCTGCAAAACTAATGTGTTGGAACTTAAGCCCCATTTTGATAGCTGGTAAGACTAAGCTCTCAATGAGATTATGGACTTTATAAAAAGTCTAGATGCCCCTTGACCCTTACCTTCCAACATGTGAGTGATACCACCTTGGTGAGTCCTGCTTCCTCAAATGTTGAAGTATAATATCAGAGAAGAGGCAAGTGGAGAGTAGAAAATAAGAAGCTTTATTAAAGGATAGTAAAATAGACTTCTCCCGGGTGGTAGAAGGGGACCCAAAGGCAGAATCCTTGGTTTGGGGAAGTCATGTCCCTTTGATATGTCTAAAATTTCCCTGGTTCTCCTGCATTCTTCTCCCTTATCTTGTTCATTTTCCCTTATCCTGCATAGTGACTGGGGGATGTCTGTAGAATTTATGGCCAGGGGTTGAGTTGATAGGCTGGAAGGGCTTAGGTAGAATGCTAGGCAGGAAGGGAATGGTGGCCCAGGGGGCCTTGATTAGCAGCTCCCTAACAACCTTTTTGGGAGGAGGAAGTATCAAAGGACTTTGGAGACATGAACATTCCATTCTCCTAGGGGCTGTTTCTGATTTCCCAGACTCAAATTGGACTCCACTTTCTCCATCAGACCCAATTTACCTAGCTACACTAACTACCTATCTTTAAATCTGGCTTCATGAGGACACAGCTTTTGTCCCTTTCAACATGGTTCCATCTGGAAGGCAAAGACTAGGTTCTTACCAGACACAAAACTTCATCAGTATTTTGATTGTGGATTCTCAACCTCCAAAGAGCTATTCCTAACCACTTGTATCTGAGCAAGCTTTATTTTATTCAATGAGTGTTCTGCCCCACTGATATTGAGAGGGAGATGTTAGTCACATAGCATTTGTAAAGGATCAGGGGAAGAGATGGATTATCATTTGGTGACTTTCAGGTTTAACTACATGTTAAAATGAGAATTTAATTCAATGCTCTGTGTCATCTATACCAGTAAAGCAGATCATGGTAGAATCTAAAAGTAAAAAGCAAAGGTATAACAAACCAAACCACATTTGTTTTAGTTCAACTATCAACAACAACAGTTTGCTTAAAATAAAGCATCCAGAACAAATTTAAATTATACAATTTACCAGAATAGCAGAAGAAATCAGTTTTGGCTACTGGATAGAGAATTAACAATTGCATATGAATTTATCAGTGATCTACATAAACACCAAAATCATTCTTCACTTATAAATATGAACAAATAACCAACATCTGAGGAGTACATGAAGAAGGAGCAAGGTGAGCTAATAGATAGAGTAACTAAAGTCCAAATATTTGGTGGTTAAACCAACCTTGAATTTTAAAATATTTAAGCATGATTAACATGTACTTTTGTCTCTGTTGCCTAACATCAGTTATATTTTACAAATGTTTAAGTCTTTGAAAAAGCTCTTTTAAAATCAATAATAGTGCCCTCCAAAGTTATTGAACTAGTTTGCAAATGAGTTACTTGTTTATTTTGGTTGCAGTTTGTTCAAAACCAGGTGTCTTTAATGAAAGTGTTCAGTGAGTGAAATATCAAAGTTTTAAAATTTTCAGCCAACTGCAATTAATGAAAACAAAGTTTATAAGAGAAACTATTGAAATTTTGCCACTACAAAAGTGAAGGAAGGACCTGAGAAAATTAAACAGTGAAAGTCAATCACTGTAAAATATTTAAATTTGAAATTTTATCAATTTTTAGGCTTAACTTGTAAAATGAATTATTCAAATATATATTCTGTAATGTGAGGAATAATGAAAAGCCCTGTTATTTTGCAATAGTTTGGCAAAGCATTCAAGATAATCAGAACTAGAGATGACTCATTTTATGAGTCTGATAAAATATTTCTCTAAAAAAACTGAATGAAGTAAGAGAAATAGTCCCCATATATGTTGGTTACTTTGTTGGGTCAATTTGACTAGGTACAGTAACTAGTAACTTAATCAAATGCTCATCTGGGTGTGTGTGCCTATGAAGGTATCTTAAAATGTTACTAACTTCTATAATCAGTTGACTTTAAGTTAGTATGGAGTTAAGTATTATGGATTTACCCTCCATAATGTGGGTGGACTTAATCCAATCAGTTGAGAAGAGTTAAGAGCACACAAGGTTTCCTGGAGAAAGAAAAATTCCTACCTCAATTGCAACATCAGCCCCTACCCAAGGATTTCCATTCTATTGCCTTCAATATGGATATTGGCTTTGGTTTTGGCAGCCCTCACAACTATACAGGCAAATTCCTTCAACTGTGCCATATATGTCCTACCTACCTACCTACCTAAGTAGAAGTATCCTGCTGGTTTTATTTTTCTGCAAGATCCTGACTGACACATATTTTGTCAAGAGTTATTCTAGCTGGGCATGGTGGCGCACACCAGTAATCCCAGCTGCTTGGGAGGCTGATGCAGGAGGATTGAGGGTTCAAACCAGCTTCAGCAAAAGCAAAGCACTGAGTAATTCAGTGAGACCCTGTCTCTAAATAAAAATACAAAATAGTTCTGGGGATGAGGGTCAGTGGTTGAGTGCCCCTGAGTTCAATCCCTGGTACCCTCACCCCCTAAAAAAAGAGTTATTCTAGAGGAATGGGATATTTTTCTTTTCCTCTTTTTTTTCAGGTGGGGGTGGATACTGGAGGTAGCCCCAGCTCCTTTTAATTTTTTTTTTTTAATTTTGATACAGAGTTTCGTAAAGTTGCTGAAGCTGGCCTTGAACTTGAGTTCCTCTGAGTTACTGGGATTACAGGTATGTATCACCACTCAACCAGAGAAATGGAATCTTAAGGTCAAGTTTTATGAATAAAAAGTGAGTTTTCTGGAGTTGGTGCTCTAATCTGATTTGATTTAAAGGTACTAATGATTCTGTTTCTAGTGGTAAAAAGGGCACAGATATTTAAATTATGACTCGATGTTGCAGTAATTATTTTAAACAATCTAATTGGATATTCCTAATCCAATGTTTATAAAAGGCAGGTTTCTGTATTACCATGTATTTGATGCCTTAAGGTATATTAGTCAAAATAACTAGTATAATAAGGTTGACTGTTTCCTAATTGCACTGAAGAGAGGGGAAAGAAATGGATGAACTCAGACCATCAAATTTTTATCTCAAGTTTTGCATGAATGAACTGAAATTTCCAATATCTGCCCTTAAGAAAATACTTATTTCCAGTATTCATAGTACTGAGGTTTCTGAAAAACAAACCTATAGTATCACTCTGTGAGTGGCTGAATCACAATGCAAATTGAATTTCCAATCTTGCAGGCTCTGTTAAAGTGAGGACATTGATTGGGAAGGAATACGATCCTGGAAATCAGAATGATGACCAAGTTACCATGTGACATGACCGGACCCTCCCTACCTAGATGTTATTTGATTCAGTAAGCCATAAACATGGATGTGCATAACAACAATCTATCATCACCTAGAAGTGATACATAACCTCTGCAACAGCACTTGGATGAGTTAAAAAGAAAATAACTTATAATTATAACATTCTTCCAAAAAGTTTTAACATACAACACTTCAACTATCAAAGATCCTCTGCCATGAAAATCATCTGCTTCTGATATCCAGCTACCAATATGCCATGGCTTTCTGATCCAGGATCTCCTGAAGCAGATTATCTTTCTTCTCATTTTGGTGAGAAGATCAGTAATAGCCTCCCACTGCATGATGATACATACATACATGGTTCACCTCACTTCATCTCATCACAGA